ATATTTATGATCTCAAAAAGGTTGAGTGTGAGTAACTGAGAGCTGTACCAGCATTCCCAGTTCAGTTTTCAGGAGAGCTCTTGGGACTTCTAGATGAAAAGTTGTTTCATCTGAAAGATGAAGAATTGTTTAAGCTTTTTCCCTGTTTCTTCAAGTCATCTGCTTGTTTGCCTCTACTGAAAACTGGAAAGGACAAGCTGATTTGAAATTCTGCTCACCTTCCTGATTTTGCCAGTTGGAGCACTTCCCAAACTTTTCCATTTCTTGCTCTGTTTTATATTTCTCCCACCTCTTCTGGCTTTGCATGAAGAGTAGCAGCTTGGGGGGGAGGGTGGCTTTGGCATTTATCTGGAATGCTTGGAATTGCTGTATGTTGTGACCTTTCACCTTTGTGTATGTTAAGGATTTTGTGATCTGCTGCCAAGATGCCCCACACAGTGTTTGAGAATTAACTTGAATTCCATTTGCTAATCCCATTCTACCAAAGCACTAAACATTAATGCAGTTCTCTTCTCCTGATGATATATCTTAGGCTCTATTCTTTCATTTTATTTTGCTCTGAAATCTGTCCTGGATTCATTGTGTACTCACAATGAAGCAGTGAGGTGGAGGGTTGAAATAAAAATGTTACATTTAGTTTAGCAGCATATACATTAATAGTAAACTAAAATTTATACCGATTACATTCTATATCTTTTTACCAATACATAGAGTTCAGTACACAAGACTCAGTGGGTATTTTGGAAAATATTTGTAGCTTGGGTGGTAGATGTTGGTGATGGTTTGTTCTCCAAGCTTGTTGTTCAGTTTCTGAACATTTCACCACCAGGCTAGGTAATATCATCAGCAGAACTTTGGTTGAAGTGTTTCAATTCTACTTTTATCAATCTTATGTAGTCAGTTGGTCCTTCACATGCATAATCAGCCAGGGTGACCTCACCACCAGATGACCTTCACGTGACATGACCAACTTGACCACCTAAGGCCTATAAAGGCAGAAGAGAACTGAAACAAGACTTTTCAACTGAAGTTCTGCTCATGGTATTACCTAGCCTGGTGATGAAATGTTTGGAAACTAAGCAACAAGCTTGGAGAACAAACCATCACCAACATTCAGTGGGAATGGATGACCTCAGGATTTGCACAAATACAAACAATGTTAATGAATCAAAGGCCTCAACCATAGATTGCTGAGGTATTCAAGAAGGATCACTGATGTTACAAGATTGCCCAGATGTCACCTGGTAACTAGAAACTCTGTTTTGCTAAAATTTAATCTGAAACACGCCCCTCCCAAACAGGGGTGGGATCCTACCAGCATAATAACCAGTTCGGTGAGCATGCGTTTTGCGTTTGTTGTTCCTTATTTGCATGAAATACCAGCTAGATGCTGGCAGCACTTAAGTGATCTTGGCTGATCTTGAAAACCCAAGTAGAGTTGGATCTGATTAATACTTAGAACAGGAAATTCCATGTCCTAGTTTGCAAGCTAAACTAAGAAGTTGAAAAATAGTCAAGAAGAATGAAATAACCACTTTGGAATTGTTGACAAGAAAATTGCATATAACCATAACATTTTTATTGGTGTGAAAGTTCCAAAAAGAACTTAATAAATATGGTTTTAACATGTATATAATTCTGCATTAAAATTATGCATACAACACTTCATGTCATATCAGTTGAATGTGAGATACTATAATGTTATTTCAACAGAATAAAAATTCTAGCAATAATAGAAACCATGATACACTTGAATCAGACTCCTAAAGCACTTTTCATGATGATTTGGCCTGAAAAGGCAAGGTAAAAGTTAGAAGAAAGTCAAAAGGCAATTTTACCATTCTCCGTCTTTGTGATGACCCAAGGCGTGGCACAAAGGCAACACAAGTTTCTTTATTAGTTCCAACTTTGCCTCCAATATCCTGGTTCCTCTCCGGTCTGAAGAAAAACTCACCCATGAACCTGCAACAGCCCTTGGCTGCAGATACTTCACTCCAAATGTGGTAAATGGAAAATTTCAAATTATAAATCCAACAAGGCAAGATAAGGTAATAAATCCGGCAGAACAAGATAAGGAATTCCAGAAGTGAAGTAACACAGCAGTAAATCAAGCCAGTTGGGAGGATGCCAGGAACTTAGATAACAGCAGCCAACACTAGGTGAACTCAGCATTTGTTCCCAACAACTGCCCCTCCCATCTGCCTCTCCTTTAAACTCTATCCCCAGGTGTGCCTTGTGAAGGGAATCAGGGCCCTTTCCTCCCTCATAAGCCATGCAACCCACATTGCTCTCTTCTCCATTCTTCCCTGCATGCCCTAGGATGAAGGGGGGTGGGCCTTGGTCTTCATCTGAACCCCCTCTCCCTTGTTCTAGCTCTGCCCAGCCTGACTGCCCTTCCCCAGTTTCTTCCACAGCCAATGGAGCCACTCTCCCGCTCTCTGTCAGCTGTTTGTCTTCCCACTCAGATTCAGACTCTGACAGGGGCATGACAGTCTTTTTAAAATAATATAAATTCTAAAATAAAAGAAAATATCTTAGGATGAAAGGGGCAATAAAGAATTAACTCATTATTAACTGTTGTCTTAATAAAGCGTACACCTCAGGAGAGAGTTTCTATCTTCTTTATGGTACTGAAAAAAACCACATTATGGAGAGCAATCTGAACTTCAGGTCTTGTGACAATTCATGAGTCATCAGACCTTCCAATTAGAGTCATTAAAGCAAAGTGTGGAAGCAGTTCTATCAGGATTTTTTAGATTCAATGGGAGTACAACAAAGTGTCAGTAAATTTTTTCTAGCCTATTCTTATATAAGAGTATAAGACTGAAAGAGCCAATCAGGGTACAGTGATGACCCATTTCCAAAACAGTCAGTGTAGGAAACATCCCTGTACAAGTCCATTCTGCCAACCAAACTACTGAAACAGAAGCATGAATGGACTTGAAAGCACTATCAAACTAGCTGTATGGAGTATTTGCCCCGAATGGAAATGTGAGAAGAACATCTGTGGCAACTACTAAAACATTTGGGTAATCTGTCTCAAGTACTATAGTCACCTAGAGTAACTACAACTATGTGTCTGAAAATTGAGCAAAACTAATGACACAATTACTAATTATTACTAATTATGAAACATAGGAAGTGTTTCAGGAAGAACTATACCTAATTTTCCAGAGAATAAAATTTTAGCTAGACTATTTCAATGAATTATCATCATTTGCAAGTCTCTCCTTTTACTTACTAGAAAAATAGGGAAGGTTCTTTCTGAAATGCTTTCCATGAACCTTTGCTTCTAAGGGCTGTGATAGCTTTTGCATGATGGTTACCTACTTTGTGTCTTTTCCTCCTGTCTATCAAGGTCATTCCCATCACATTTCCTTAGATTGGACATTTGTCTGCCCATTGAGGGTAGTAGAGGTCAGGAAACAGATTGCAAAAGAAATACAGGAACTCTCCTTTATTAACCCAAAGATGCTTTTTCAGGAGGCAACTGGACTTTCTTGTTTTTTCTTTTGAAGATGTTTTACTTCTCATCCAAGAAGCTTCTTCAGTTCTGACAGGATATCCTGTCAGAGCCGTCATGGGTATAGCCCCAGAGTCTGCTGGACAAGGGGCCGGCGGACTGCAGCTACTGCCGGACATTGTCAGCCCGCACGCATTCACCACCTCTTGTGTGCATGCCAGGGAGGTGGGGCATGCCTGGCTGGGCAGACCACAGCTACTGTGGTAGGGGTGGTCCCTCACCATCTCCAGTACTATGTTTCTCTGAAAATAAGCCCTAATGTGTCTTTTGGAAGGAAACAAATATATAAAAGACTGGTCTTATTTTCAGGGAAACATGATAGAACTAAGGAAAATTTTCCTGGCAGTGAGAACAATTAACCAATGGAATGGCTTGCTTTCAGAATTTGTGGGTACTCCATCATTGAAGACTTTTAAGAAGACACTGGACAGCCATTTGTCTGAAATGGTACAGGGTCTTCTGCTTGAACAGGGAGTTGAACTAGAAGACCTCCAAGATCTCTTCCAACTCTGTTATTCTATTAGAAGATCTCCAAGATCCCCTCTTGTTATTCTGTATTCTTTAAACCTACATTCCAGCTATTGGTAGCAAAAGGAAATGGTGCTGGGAGGGGGAAAACTGCAAAGCTACGTGTCTATGGAGATTCTCAGTCATTCAGATCATGGTTGTCCTCAAGGTGCTTTTTAAAGAGGCAACTAGACATTCTGGTTTTTCATTGAAGACATTTTGCTTATCCAAGAAGCTTCGTCAGCGCTAACTGGATGGTGGGGAATGGAAGGATTGACCGTCCTTGCAGACATCTGGTCATTTTCTTTTTGTGGGGAGAGTCATTAAGGCTTGGGTCACCTGAGTGGTGCAAATGGATGTGGAGCCTTCTTGGAATTGTTTAAAGAACTGTGTTGTAGACTGGAGATAGATGATGTCATATTCCTTCCCCTATTGATAGAGGTCTGTTCAATTTTGACATAGATGGACTCTTTGACTCCTCTTTCAAACCAGCAGTCCTATCCAAAATGTGGATTTTGCTGTCTTCAAAAGAGTGGCCTTTGCCTTTTAAATACAGATGGACTGCTGAATCTAGTCCTGATGGGTTTGTTCTCCTATTTTGTGCCAAAGAAGGTTCCCCCTTCTGTCCAATTGAATGGCAGTATCACTAGGGATCTGACACAATGGGAAATTGTCCATTGTAACACTCTTATGTTCCCGCTTTTCTTTGGAGCAGCTACTGAGCTGAATTGAATTCGATCAACTGTAAAGACTTCATAAATCCAATTGCATCACAGAGACCCAGAAATGTAGCACTGCTTGCAAGTCATTTATTGCAGAAGGGATTTGTTTGCCTTAATGATTAAGTGGCTATAAGGGGACAGTAACAGTGAGAAAACAAGGTAGGCCCAGCACAGTTTGGCATCTCCTATTGTTTGCTGAACAGTGCTGAAGTTAGACCTTACTTACACCTGTGTTTTGCACCTGACAGTATGAATTCAAAGCCAAAAGTATAAAGAAGAAGAAAGTGGATTTGTTGGTATCTGTAGATGGTGTGAAAGTGGTACTAAAGAAGAAGAAGAAGGTAAGTTTTTGATTTCTAGAACTTGTATCCTTTTGTAAATTAGAAATGCTTTGGAAATTTTGGTGTCAAATATTATCTGTGTACAAGTAATCTTTGATTATGGCCAGTTGAATAGCAACCAGGGGTGGGATTCAACTGGGATTCAATTCGGTCCGGTTCAGCCGAACCCCTTGTTAACTTTTTGCCTAGTTCAACGAACTGGTTGATTGCACCACCAGCTGGCCCCACCCCACCACACCTGGTCCCTCCCAGCCACTCCTTATCTTGCATTGGTTGCTTGCCTAGTCATGCCTGCAGCCCAGGCTGGTTCCTCACCCAGGCCCAACCTGGGTAGCACCAGTGCCTCCATGCCCTGCTTGCTAGCTTTTCCCTGGAACCACTCCACCCCCACATGGGAAAGCAATGTTCCCACCTGTGTGTGGAAGAAGAAAGAGGCAGGAAGGAGAGGGCATGGGACCCAGGAAGCTTCTGCCTGCCAGCACGCCATGGGCAGTAGGAGATTGCAAGCCACAAGGGCTCTGGGAGGAAAGCGGAAGACGAATGGTGGTGGCATGTGGCTTCTGGCATTGCAGGGGGGGAGGGGGCGGAAGCAGAACTGTCCTTTTGACATCAGGCATGGAGGCAATGGAGGGGTGGGTGGATTAAATGGGAAGCTCTGCAGGTTTTTTTTTTTTTAATGGGCAGAGGCTTCCCATTTTGATCCCCTTCCCCGGTTGTTGTCTCTGTGCCTGATGGACCATTGCATGACTCTCAACTCACCTCTCCAACATGTGTCTCTCTCTGTGTATGTGCATGTGATGCGTGCCTAAGGTCTCTCCCCTTGCAGCCTGGCATTGTGACAATGGAGTGGAAAACATCATAAGAGGCTTCGGGCTGAAAAAAAACAAGCTATTGCAAAAAAAAGAGTTTGCATTTTGCAGCCTAGCTAGCATCACAGAAATTTGTTTCTGTGTGTGTGTCTGTGCCTGTGTGTGTGTGTGCGCACGTGCACGGGCCTAAGGTCTCCCCCCTTGCAGCCTGGCACTGTGACAGTGGAGAGGAAAACACTGTGAGAGGCTTCGGGCTGAAAAAAAAGAGTTAGTTTACATTTTGCAGCCTAGCGAGCATCACAGAAGTTTGTGTGTGTGTCTTGGGTTGAATAAGTTGAATGGCAATGGCCAGTTTCATCCAAAGGAGTTTTTGTTTCAGGTGGATCTCCTAGCCTTAGAAGGAGAGAGGGAAGGAGGAAGGGAGGGGAAAGTGAATGAGATATAGTTGGTTGGTTGGATGGATCCATGGAGGGAGGAAGGGAGACAGAGAAAAAAAAGGAGAGGAAGGAAGGACCACAAGTCCTGGCATGAGACGTGGCTTCAGAAGACGCTTTGAAACAGCACAGCAATCTAGGGCTGGGGGGGATTTCAGAGGTCATCTAGTCCAAATCCCTGTTCCAGCAGGAGATCTTTACAGAATCATAGAATAGCAGGGTTAGAAGGGACCTTGGAGGCCATCTAGTCCAACCCCCTGCTGCAGCAGGAAACCTTATATCATCTGGATTGTTTTGGTGCCTCTAACAGAAAGGAAAATTACCAAAAAGGAGGAGTTTACTAGGCTAAGGCTGCCATGCAGAGGAAGGTAGAGATAGATAATCTTGACTTATGATCACAATTGAGCCCAAAATTTTGATTGCTAAGCAAGAGCGTTGTTAAGTGAGTTTCACCACATTATACTCAATCTATGACATCTTCTGGCTCTAACAGTCATGTGCAGACTAGGGAAGTAAATCTCTGTGTGTGTAATGTTCTGATGTACAGAGGTTATAAGTTAAATATGCAGCAGAAAGTGGACCCTGGGTGTGTTTTTCCAAATGCAGTAAGTGAGGTTGAATGTGTATAGTTTTAGAAGAGCTCTGTGTGTGCGCATGTGTGTGTATGTGTGTGTGTACATACGCATACAGTATATATAGTAGATAATGTATCTTTTTGTGTGCCTATACACACTCTATACCAGCGGTCGCCAACCAGTTTGAGTTTGCTTGCTAGCAAATTTTATGAGTTTGCTTGCAAGCAAATTTTATGTGACAGACTGACCTAGCCAATGGCAGATAGATTGATTTCTGAATGAATCTGTGATTCTGTGAGCAACTCAATCTGCCTGCCTGCTTTGCCTGATTTTGGGTAAAAGTTGCTCTTTTTTATTAAAAAAATCAATATTTATATAAATATTTATAATATTTACATACAAGCCATGCCCAGCTGGTCACATGACCACCAAGCCACACCCACAAATTAGACCACGCCTACAGAACCAGTTAGTGGTCCCTGGGATCTAAAATTATGAGTTTGGTGGTCCCTGAGGTCCAAAATGTTGGCGATCCCTGCTCTATACTATGTAATATGTAGGTATACATATGGCATATATGCATAGGATTAAATAGTGTACTTTGGATGTTCAGTTGTAGTAAATAAATAGACAGGGAAATTGTATCTCGTTGAGGCCTTTGAGACAAGGAGAGAACAGGTTAGACACCCCTTGATGTGAGGGATGTCAAATTGGCCATGCCCACCCAGTCACATGACGGCCCACCCATGCCCACTCGGTCACATGACCACCAAATCATGCCCACCAAGCTATGCCCACAGAACTGCTTGTTAAAAAATCTGAATCCCACCACTGATAGCAACCATTCAAGGGTAATACAGACTCCTTTCCCCAAAGCTACTGTAAGGTCCCAGCAGTTTCCCCGAGCCATGGAGATGCCAAAGAGTGAGACTTGAGACGAGGCTTGCAAAAGTAACAGCTTTTTATTATTTGGCCAAAGCAAAAAGTCTGGGTGAATACTATGTCCAAAACATACAGACAAAATGCATGTAAGGAATAGCCACACCCTGCAAGAATGGCTCAGAGTATTATATACATTTTACGCTGATAGAAACAAGGTTTACCCAATCAGAGACAAAGGTTCGTTATTAATGTCCCTCCCCTTTCTTATCCGTGGAGCGTTCTTTGTACATGCTCTGTCCATACTTGGTTATTTTACACGGTATCCCTTGTCCTTGTTTGTTCGTGCTCCTAGGCAGCCTCCCCTTATCTATGGAGCAGGATGTTCATGGGAATTGTCTCCAAGGATGTGTTTAGCTCTGAAGCAAATTGCAGAGGCAAGAAACCAGATAGAAAAGGATACAATTCTCTTACAGAATGACTTCCATCTTTAGCAAAATAGTACAAGCAACTTCTCTAACAGATGCAAAGAGCAACGGTTAGATTGATTCATGTCAAAATGTCTTTTCATATCCCTCCCTTTTCTTATGACAGATGTCAATGGTGGGCTAGGGGAACATTTAAGGACCATGTGTTTTGCTGGTCTAATGGGTGGAGGGGGTGGAGGAGGGGGTCAGTGGACACTGAGGAGGCTAAGACTACCATCCCAGTGATGGGAGAGGTAACCATACACTGGATCAGAGGGATTGAACAGGAGGAGAAGGAGATCTCCAAGGGCTAAAAAACACAAACCCAATCCATTTCCAGTAAGAGAAGATACTGCCAAACCAGTTGAAGTCAACTGTCCCAGTCCAAGTCTGCACCAGGGTGTAGACAGTTTTCCCCACCCTTTGCAGCAATCTCCTCCATAACTTTTTCTGGACCATCTCTCTGTAAATAACAATTTGTGAAATAAAATTTTCAACACACACCTCCTTCTGTTGCTGACAAAAAGTGTAAAGCAACTCTATACTGATATAGATAGATAGATAGATAGATAGATAGATAGATAGATAGATAGATAGATAGATAGATAGATAGAGATATATATGGTATTCAGCTTTGTTCGGGTATTTTCCCACATCATTATAGTTGTGCTTTTAAAGTTGTAGCAAAACGTTGCTACAACTTTAAAAGCACAACTATAATGACGTGGGAAAATACCGAACAAAGCTGAATACCATACATATAAATACCCGTGAAAACTTAAGAAAAGATAGATAGATAGATAGATAGATAGATACTGTGTATGTATATAACCACGCATACACATGCTCCATATCAATGGCTAGGCAATTGCACATAGGCAAACTTTCCACATAACCCATATAAGCCATCTGTAGCATGCCAGTTAAGAATTTCATTACCCACAAACGTCCATAACCCACCCAGTCTAGGTGCATTTTCAAATGAGTTACTACATTGTGTCAGGTAAATTCCAAACTGAAATGTTACATTAAGCAAAGAAAAGACCCTTGTTTGGACTACTGTGTCCAAGGCAGGTTGATCAGGTTAAATCCCCCAATTCTTATACATTTAATCTAGTCTTCTATTATTACTATATATCTTCTATTATTACTTCTATTATTACTCTATTATCATTTAGTCTTCTATTATTACTATATCAGAAGGTTCTTCACAAGTGCATACTGGTCCACAATCACAACAATGTTGACACCAAAACATTCAGTGATACAGTTACAATTACAGAACCAACACATCCTGTAGGGTGCAAAGTTCCACAGCTTCACTTGGGATCTTCAGATGGAATAACATAGGCCATCACTCAGGCAGGAAAAATCAAAAAGTTGGTACTCCTGCAACAACAAAAAAGAAATCACAAACAAAATACATTCATACCACCATGACCAGTTCTTGGTAATGTTTATTTTTAGCTGGTCTTCTCCAGGAACCACTTTCCAAGTTCATCAACTGGTCCTTTTACACACTTGTAGTGGGTCCACCCTTTGTCTTTTGTTCAGACTGCTATTTCAGTGGTTAGCAGAACTTAGCAGGGCCTGTCCCAGGCTTGGCTAAGTTCTTCCTTACATATTGTGGCTCCGGGCTTGGATTCAGCTCCTGTGATTGATATGAGTTCAAGTGAAGAGGTTATGACAGAACAATATGAGCCGGCCTGGCTTACTGATTGGACTGATAACCAGGATGAGGAGATGGACGTGACAAAGGATGACAGACCTGATGTATTAGAATTGTCAGGACCTTTGACCTCCTCTGGTTCCTTATCTGATCAACAGCCGGGAATG